AATTTGTGAATCTCAGCGTTACAATTTTATTTATGACAACCCTATTTGATGACAAAATAGGCATTTGCACTTGCTGTTTAACTACTAGGATTAAATCGGATAATCAAAGTCTACACTCTAAGACTTTAAAAGCCCTCAAATAAGAGTCCGAACGAATGGATTCATATGAACTAAAAAATCGCTTTAGAATGGCTATTTGAAGGATAGTTATTTGCTCCCTCTCTTTTAATTTGTTCTCAGAATGTTTGAGCGTGGAAACTATTGAATGGGTTCATACTTCAGAAGACGCCAAGAGCATAGGCATCGCATTGGAATGAGCTGTGACTTTTTGTGTGTGCGTTTTTGTATGTATTACCCGAGGATACACACTGTGTGGGACCGGCCCGGCCTGGTTGCCCGGGTCCAGACCTAGGACCCGAGCCAGGGGTGTTTTTGGGGCGGGCTCGGGCTACATGGTTCTTTGGAATCGGCCCGGCCGGTCCAGGTATCGATCTGGAGCAATTTTTTTAAAAAGTCTGGGGTGGTAGGCAAGTTGGGCTGGGTGTTTTGAAGGGATTTGGGGGTGGGGTGGGGGAAGGAATTAATTAGAAAAGCAAAAAGAAAACCGCTACTCTGGCCCGGTCCGATCCCAGTAGAATCCCGGGCTGATTTTGAACCTTAACCCCAATAGAAAAGCCCGGTTTGGACCGGCCCATCCTGGAACCGGTCCATGCCTAGATAACATGTATTGAACGTCAATGAATGAGTGACGAAGCCAGAAATATCAAATTATGGGGATCGAGCTTAAAAATTTATATTGAGTGGTTAAAACTAAATTTTCACTATATTTTTACTAGTTAAAACTATACGTATATATAGGAAAATTCTCAGGTCCGAACGTTCGGACCTGAGGCGCCGTCTGAACACCGCCATTCGGGGCGGTTCCCGGTGGAAATTTTAGGTGAAATTTTTATGGTATGTTCTTCATCAAGTCTAGTTTATTCACACAAAAATTCAGCTCAAAATTCGATCGGGAAGACCGTCAAATAATTTTTGGAAGTTAAATGCGTTTTTCAATGTATAATTTTGCGCAGTTAACTTTCATAAATTATTTGACGACCTTCCCGATCTAATTTTGAGCGGAAATTTTTTGTAGATAAACTAGACTTGATGAAGAATATACCATAAAAGTTTCAACGAAAAATTTCACCGGGAACCGCCCCGAACGGCGGTGTTCGGACGGCGCCTCAGGTCCGAACGTTCGGTTTCCGGTAAACCGAACCGAAAATATCGGGCACCAAAAATCAGTACCCGTTTTTATAACGGTTCAGTTTTGGTTTTGAAAATTTGGTAAACCGAAATATCGGTTCAGAACCCGAACCGGATCCAGCCCTATATATATACTCCGCACTACGCAGTGGCGGACCCACTAAGGGTCCCACGGGGTCCCGGGACCCCGTGTACTTCCAAAAAAATACCTATATGTTTTATATATTTTATTGTAAATTTATTTATAAATGTATATATAACACAAAAACAAGTATGAGTTCCAAAGAATGGAGCAGAGCAATGGAAGAAAGGCTATAAAAGATTCCCGCTCATTACTATTCCTCTTTTTTTTTTTTTTGGTTTCTTAATGTAAAAGATCACAACAACATCCTTTCGCCTTTTTTAAAAATCGCCAACTTTACACTTTACATAATTCAATTAATTATTAAAATTTCTATTATGATTTTCCATTATTAAGTGAAGAATTGAATAAAATAATTGGTGAATATGAAATTAATTTGGCTGACAATACACATGATCAACATGTTTATTTTGAATCTTTAGAAGCTTATCCCGGTTTGAGAAAAAAATTGTTGATTTGCATCTCAATGTTCAAGACGAGCTGCGCCATAGTAGGGACTATGAAACGTTGTACTACTTTGATATTTGGAATTTTATCAATTCAAAACTTGAAAGGTAGATGAATTATCAATCCGAGACCTGAAAGAAGAAATTTATAGATATAAGACTCAAATGATGAAAATTGTCAATTTAGGACTTGAATGATTGAAGACTATCAATCTCGGACCTATATTGTCATGAATTTTTATTATTTTTATGTTGAAATTTTTAAATATTATTTAGTTTTATTAAACTAATAAACTTTTGTGGAAAAAAGTTTATCAAAAATTAGCAAATGAACTATTAAAAAATAAATAAATCAAAATCTATGAAATCTTAGATCCTAGATTGATAATTTTCATCTTTCGGGTCCTATATTAATACATTTCATCTTTCGGGTACCGAATTTATAATTTATCTATCTTTAAGGTCCTGAATTGATAAATTTTCTTAATATTTTGATGATGTACAAACTATGAAATGTTATGCTACTTTAATATTATATACTTACATTTTTTTAATTTTTTATTCGTTAGAGTTACATTAAGGTAGGGACCCCGTGACTCCGATTTTCTGGGTCCGCCAGTGGCACTACGTCAATCATTAAATGGAAATGTAGTCTTTTTTAATAAGTGGTCAAACGCTATTATTATGACGTACTTCAAACACTCTGTGTGAAAATCATGAGTCAACGCCCATGGCGAAGAGTGATGATCCCTCAACAATAATTGTTTTTTCCTTTATAAAAGCCCAATACTCACTTTATAATAAAGTTGGCTCAACACCAATTCAATAGATGAACACGTACTACTTAGATCAATCAAATCTATATCTAAAGAAAATAAAAATACAAAATTAGAGTCGTAGTTGACTGGTTTCTCGAATGCGACTTATGTTAGATTCATATTAAAAACAAGAGTTATGTGAAACTAATAGTAATAGTAATAACAATACTAAATAAATAATACTAATAATAATAAGAATATTAATAATAATAACAACAATAAGGTTGATAATAAATTATTAGTCATAATATTAGTAGCAATTTCAAAAAACAAACAATAATAATAAAAACACTAATTTATACGTACTACTTCATCAACAATAACAATGCAACTAACTACTCCGTACATTCAACAAAACTAACTGCACGCCCGGTAACTACTCCCTCCGTCCCAATTGGATAGTCTCATTTTTTTTGGCTACACGTTTTAATAAAGTGGTTGAAAAGGTAAAAGTTATGGTTGAGATTTGAATATAATAAAGTGAAATGATATGAAACACATCTTTCTTTCTAAAAAGGGAAACAGTATCATCATTTTGGAACATACCAAAAATGAAATAAGAACCATCATTTTGGAACGGAGGAAGTACTATGCAAGCTTTCCGTCCACATTCCTTTTTCTCTCTACGAAGCAACTAAATGTAAAAAAGAACTAAAAATAGTAAAACAAAATGGATACTATGTTTTGTTCACCCCTCAAAGGAAAGTTCAGTTTTATTCACCCGTAAGGGTGAACATCACACCCACCTTACATGAGTGCTATGTAGCAAGGCAATTTGTCTATTATTTTACAATTGTTTTAACCATTGTTCTAAAAATCGTTCTAGGCGTCTGACTAGTCACCACCTAGGCGCTAGGCGGTGGTCGGATGCCCCGATTTTAGCCTAGGCACTCTAACTAATTGGTTTGACGCTTAGGCGAATTAGTCGACCGCCTAGGGCGCCTAATTGTCCGCCCAAACTGCCTAATTGGCCACCAAATAAAGTGTTTAGATTTGTCGAACATTTTTTTGCTTTTATATTTCAGTTTCCTAAAAGATATATGTACATTAACTCTAATAACACATATGAAGAAAGCTACTAGTTCTAGATTAGTATAAATACTACGATAGTATATGTGTTTGTATATAATCTAAAATGTATTATTATTTTATACTACCTCCGTCCCGCTATGATTGTCCCGTTTTACCTTATCGGTCCGTCCCACTAAGATTGTTCCATACCAAATTTGGCAAAGTTGTGTGGCTCTAAATCATTCTTACTTTATTCTTACTTTATCAATTCAATATCAACCACATAAACCACTTTTTATCGATTTGCGTGCCGCTCCCTCTTGTCCCATTGTTAGCGGGACGGAGGGAGTAATATTTATTACATAATGAAGTAAACTAAGTAGGTATAGTATATTATTAGATGTGACAACACTATCATTCATGCACAATGTGTATGTATGTGTATATATATATTTTTTATACACACACAAACACAACATAATATAACATTATTAATCATATTTATGAAAAACCATTGATAAAACTATAAATTCTATGTCTTCAAATAGTCCCCGCCTAGCCACCTAGGCGTTATACGCTGAACTGGTGCCCGACTAGCGCCTTTAAGAACATTGATTTCAACTATATCATTTGTTAATTAAAAAGTATACTCCGTATCAAATTTAGTAACTTTGTATGATCTTTCCAATGGGATCAATATTATATAAAAGAATTGAAAAAAAACAATTTTTTCTATGTATTTATTTTGAGCTGGATTTTTTTAAAAATTTTTCATATACCATATGAAAGATCATAAAAAATAAAAAATTGTCTTGCCACATGGCGCTCATTTAGGGTGGGTCGGTGGGGTGATGTACTCCCTCCTTTGACAGTCTGTATGCCGTGTGAGTGGCACATCTTGAGAATCCTACTACCGCGGCCAAAACGACATAGCATGACATTAAAGTAACATTTAATTTAAAAACAAAAAAATGCGCACGCGAACCAACGGATCCTTTCTCCCACCTTTTCTCTTCAGCGGTCATGCTCTCCACTCCGATGTCATTACATTTACGACTCTTCAAAATCCAAAAGTTTACTTTCTGGAAAAAACTTTCGCTCTGCATTTCTTCTGAAGCAAGTTCGACGAAGTACTTTCTAACCAAATCTCTGTGAAGAACACAAGAGGTTAACTAAATGATCCAACAGCGGCAACTTGCGCACCAAGTTCAGCAGCAAGTAGAATCAAAATGGTTAGAGTTAAGGGAAAATCGGTTATCAGGTATAAACTATAACATAGACTCAAACATTAAACAATGTGATTGCTATTTCGGTATGAAAATATGTGTGTATGCCCTGAAATGTGTTATTTACATGTAAATAAAAGTAAAGTAATTTTTGTTTCATAATGTGCATATGACTGTGTTTCATAACACGCAAATCAAAATCTACAGGAAATCTCAAAAAAATAAAAAGCGACACAACATGATTACTAGGTCTCAGTCAATAGAATTTTCTTGGGTGTAGCTTTAGTCTTTTCTTTCTATGTATTGTTTTATTTTCTTTTTTCCTTCTCTGTATTTTCTTTCTCTCTACTGTTTATTTATTTCAATAAAAAAAGACTGTTTCAAAAGTCAAAATACTTGATGTTTATTTAAGTTATCAAGTATATACACTCTATAACGTATTATGTGAATGCAAATGTTGTCTAGAGAACATTATTCAAAGTGCTTATGCATGGTGCATCTTCATTGAGTAATTATATAACTTCTATATGATACTATGTAACATGGCTAGAGGACAAAATATATATTCCAGTTGTGTAAGCGTTATGTATATTATGAAGTATGTACACTCTGTCCCTTACTATGTCACTGCAACTATTGGAGTCATAGTTGACTATTGAACACCTTGTGTAAGATGTAAGTACAGATACAATTTATGTAACATAAGTATATTAATATGTAACTTGTGTCAGGGCATAGTTAATTACATGTAACTTTGGGCTATAACTTATGTAATTAGTGTATCATATTGATAACTATAAAATTGAATTTTTCAATGGTATGTATCTAATGTAAATATTTTGTTATAAATTATGTTATGAAATATGTAAACTCTATGCCATAGTATGACTGCAACTATTCAGGCCATAATTGATTATTCAACTGCTTGTGTGTAACATGTAACTACATATAAAAAAAAATTGTAACATCCATATATTAACATGTAACTCTTGTGAGCACTTGTGTAAGTTTTAAAATATAGAACTGAATCACATCCAATGGCAAAACATGTAACTTTGAGCTATAAATTATGCAATTAGTGTATAATATTATGTAAATTCATAATGATAAATAAAATTGATAATGACTTGTGAATGTTATTCTATATAATATTAGGAATACAAGAATCTATATAATATTAGGAATACAAGAAGCAATGCAGCTGCAGAGAATGACAATATTAAGTTGGAAGATGTCGAAACAATACAGAGTCAAGAACCATTGCAAATGTTGCCTTACGACAAGCCAACAACTAGATAAAAAAGAAAAACAGTTGTAGTAACACATGAAGAATCAGAAAATCAAGCTGAAGAAATAGCTAGAAGCACTCCTATCAATATAAGAACCAGAGTAGGACAATCTCCATTTATCAAGTTAATTAAACTCCTGGATGAAAATAAAAGATCAGAAGTTGAAGAGATTGACTTTGGAGGCTTGCTCAACCCAAGCTTTGACATATTCTATAGAGACTTCGTAAAATTTCTATTGAAATACTTGCAACCCATTGTATCATTACAGCTACAGCTCACAAATGGTGAGTTGTTGGATATTGAAGATCAAGATGTTAGAGTTGTTTTTGGTTTGCCAATGGGAAAGATTGATGTTAAAAAAACGAAAAAGAAGAGTACACTGAATTGCTGCAGCAGTGGAGAAAGGAGTGGAGCATTGAAAAGGGAAGCCCAAACACGACAAGGATGATACAAAAAATCATTAATGATGATGATTTTGGAGATCGATTCAAGAGAAATGTTGTGGTCTTCTCAGTTTCATGCCTCATCAGAGGCAATCAGGGTATAAAGAGCAACTTCAAGATTTTGCTCTCTTTGATAAAAGTTGATAAAATCAAGAATTTGAATTGGCGCAAGTATACAAGGCGATCACTAATGGATGCTGCCATGCTGGTGAAGAATGGCAAGCTCATCCATCAAGGATGTTCACTGGACCATTGGTGTTTCTGATGATATGCTATTTTGATAGAGTGCAATTCAAAGGACAAGATTTGGATACTGTTTATCCAACAATTTAGAAACAGTATCCATCAAAGATGTTATTTTGCTTTATTTAGTTCTCTTTCTGCTTTCTCTTCTTCGACTGCATAATTCGTGGCATCACCTTCCCAAGCGTGAACCCCAGCTTCCTCTCATCTTTGATTCTCTTTTCAATTCTTTCCTTGTTCCAGCTTCTGATTGTTGGATAAACAGTATCCAAAGCCTGACCTTTGAATTGGACTCTATCAAAGTAACATATCATCAGAAACAACAATGGTCCAGTGAAGATCCTTGATAGATGAGCTTGCCATTCTACCAGCGTCCATCAATGACCGCCTTGAATACTTGCACCAATTCAAATTCTTGATGTCATCAACTTTCACTAAAGAGAGAAAGATCTTGAGGTTGCTCTTTATACTCTGATTGCCTCTGATGAGACATGAAACTGTGAAGACCACAAAATTTCTCTTGAATCGATCTCCAAAATCACCATCATCAATGATTTTTTGTATCATCCTTGTCGTGTCTGGGCTTCCCTTTTCAATGCCTCACTCCTCTCTCCATTGCTGCAGCAATTTAGTGTACTCTTCTTTTTCATTTTTTCCATTTGCTTCTTCAACATCAATCTTTCTCATTGGCAAACCAAAAACAGGTCTAACATTTTGATCTTCAATATCCAACAACTTGTCATTTGTGAGTTGTAGCTGTGCTGATATTTGTCGCAAGCTTTTCAATAGATTCTATGAAATCTCTATAGAATCTGTCAAAGCTTAGGTTGAGCAAGCCTCCAAAGTCAATCTCTTCAACTGCTACTCTTTTATTTTCATTCAAAAGTTTAATCAACTTGATAAATAAAGTTGGTTCAACTCTGGTTCTTAAGTTGACATGAGTGCTTCTATAGTTCTATCTCTTCAGCTTGATTTTCTGGTTCTTCATGTGTTACTACAGTTGTGTTTCTTTTCTTGCTAGTTGTTGGCTTGTTGTAAGGCAACATTTGCAATGGTTCTTGACTCTGTATTGGTTCGACTTCTTCCAGTTTAATATTGTCGTTCTCTGCAGTTGCAGTGCTTCTTGCATTCCTAATATTATACAGAATAACATTCACAAGTCATTATCAATTTAATTTATCATTATGAATTTACATAAGTCGTCGCACAATTTACATAATATTATACACTAATTACATAATTTATAGCTCAAAGATACATGTTATGCCCTTGGATGTGTTTAGTTCTGTATTTTAAAACTTACACAAGTCCTCACAAGAGTTACATATTGATATACATATGTAATATGTTACCTAAAATTTTATCTGTAGGTACATGGTACACACAAGCTGTTGAATAATCAATTATGGCCTGAATAGTTGCAGTGACATACTAAGGCACAAAGTTTACATATTTCATAACATAATTTATAACAAAATAATTACATCAGATAAATGCCATTGAAAAATTCAATTTTATAATTACCAATTTACATAAGTTACATAATCTTATAAACTGTTTACATGAATTATAGCCCAAAGTTACATGTAACTAAGTCCTGACACAAGTTACATATTAATATACTTATGTTACATAAATTGTATTTGTACTTACATCATACACAAGGTCTTCAATAATCATACATAAGTGTACATACTTCATAATATACATAATGCTTACACAACTGGCCATGTTACATATTATCATACATAAGTTACATAATTACTCAATGAAGTTACACCATGCACAAGCACTTTGAAAAATGTTCTCAGGACAACATTTGCATTCACATAATACGTTATAGAGTGTATATACTTGATAACTTAAATAAACATCAGATATTTTGAATCTGAAACACAGTCAGATGCACATTATGAAACACAAATTATTTTGCTTGTATTTACATGTAAATAACACATTTTAGGGTATAATTCACATAATTTCATAACAAAAAAGCAATCGCATTGATTAATGTAGGGGTGGACCTGGGCCGGGCCGCTTCCAGGCCTGGGCCCGATCTCTTTTTGGGAAAGGGAGAACCGGAACTGGCCCGGGTATAAACCGGGTCCGGGCCGGGCCCGGTTCTTTGTTTTTTTGCGTTCTAATTCACCCCTGACCCCCCCTCACCCCGACACCCCAACCACCCCCCCCCCCCCCCCCCCCCGCAAAACACCCAGCCCTAACCAAGAAAAACAAAAAAAATTGAAAAAACAAAAAAAAGAGCTCGGGCCGGTTCAAGAAAAGCATAGCCCGAGCCCGGCCCACCCAACCCGCCCCAACCGGGTAAAAGCTCGGGCCCGTTAGCACCAATCAGGCCGGTCCGAGCCCACACAATAGCGGACCGGGCCGGTTCCGGGCCGAGCCGAACCGGTTGGGTCCATCACTAGATTAATGTTTTAGTCTATGTTATAGTTTGTACATTACAACCGATTTTCCCTTAACCCTAACCATTTTGATTCTACTTGTTGTTGAACTTGGTGCACAAATGTTGCGGTCGAATCCTTTAGTTAGCCTCTTGTGTTCTTCACAGAGATTTGTTTAGAAAGTACTTCGTCAAACTTGCTTCAGAAGAAATGCAGAGCGGAAGTTTTTTCAGAATGTAAACTTTTTTATTTTGAAGAGGCGTAAATGTAATGCATAACCGCTGGAAGGAAAAGGTGGGAGAGAGAATTTGTTGGTTCGCGTGCACGTTTTTTTGTTTTTAAATTAAATGTTACTTTAATGTCATGCTACGTCGTTTTGACCACGGGAGTAGGATTCTCAAGATGGGCCACTCCCACAGTATACGAACTGATTGAGCAAGTTTAAACTTGGACGAGAAGAACATGTGCTTCTTGTTTTCCTTTCCCGCAAGGCCGCAATACTAACTTAGAATTTCAGTTTCAATTTCTGAATCTTTACTTCTATCAGAGCCAGTCCCCAGCTTTAGGCTGATCTGGTTCATGTTTGTCCAAATTCAAACTCGACCGCCAATTTTTTTGGGATTATAATTAGTCTTTGGGGGGACAGAAACCAGTCGGCCTGGAACCATACGTGTCCACACACCACTACACGGAGGAAGCATCAAATAAGAAAATAAGCAATAGATCACAACCAAATTTACAGACTTACAGTATAGTCAGACCTGGACAAAACCGGGCCGGGCCGCCCAACCCGCACAAATGGGCGGGCTTGGGCATATATATTTACCCACCGGGCCGGCCTGACCGCCCGAGCCCAACCCGCAATAAGATATGGGCGGGCTTGGGTTAGGGTGTAGGCCCATTCGGGCCGATAAGACTGGCCCGCTACATTTAGTATATATAAATATATATTTATATATATACTAATTTATTTAATTATTTGCAATATACACATGTATATTTATATTTACTAATTTTTCTTTATACATATTTATAGTTTATTATGTTTAAATTTAAATTTTTAGTTCTTAACAACTAGCCCAACCAAAATAACATCTATTTTTGTACTTAAAGATAATACTTTCTGCTTAAATTTTAAATTTTAGATATAGTTTTTCATCATTATTTTTGTGTAAGTATTTGTTTTGTAAGTGGTGAAAGACGTATAAACATTATAAGCGTATTAATTATTTTTTAAATGTTGTAATATTATTTTTAAAGTATTTAAAAAATCATATAATTTTGAAAAAATTAAACTTTTCCCGGGCCGGGCGGCCCGGTGGACTACCTGGCCCGCTCTTATGGGTGGGTATGGACATAGGGTTAGGCCCGTTTTTGCGGACCGAGCCGGGCCCGCCCACACATGATGGGCAGAAAATTTATAAAAAGCCCGGCCCGAGCCCGGCCCGAACCCGTTTTTGTACAGGTCTAAGTATAGATCAGACATCCAATAATACACATGTAGCAAGGAAAAACACAAGACAAACATAAATGTTTGACACAACAATAGGCATTACCAAATATTTTCAATCCTCGTTTCGTATAATATTAAATAAAAAGTAATAAAGCATCTTACAGAAGCCCACATAACCGAGGCCTGGAACAAAATAGTCTCCCGTTTGTTTTCACCATTGCCATCACCCCAGCAGTGACACCAGCACAAAGTATTGAAGGCAATAAGTTCTGCCCATTTCTCCCTGTGACATGAGATTCCAGCTCTAAATTAAAAACCCAATAGAAGGTCGCAAACCATAATATACACAGAAAATCTTTTCTTATTATGAAAGCCATTGGTAAACGTGGGCACCTTGGTTCAATGTAACGGTGGTCACTGTCAATCCTCCAATTAAAAGAGCAGATGCTACTGGAAGATACTGCAATTTAACATATTCTTATGTCATTGGAAGAATATTGAAAGTTACCTAACAGCCTCTTTTGGATAACTTATGGATGATTGTATACGAGCATTTCAATTAAATGCATTTTGCATTTAAGTGCTTAGTGCTTTTTTGAAGGATCAATTTGCTGCTTTCATTTATTTTCACGCTAAGGTTACTTCAAACAGGGAAAGCAATATATTGCTTACAGTGATGGAATCAAATCCATTGTGGATGGTAGGAGAGGGATGTCCCCTTTTGATAGTATAGCGACCACTAATAAGATCCACAGCATCCTGACAAAGCATAGAATAATCTGTCAACTCTGACAATAAATAACTTGTACTGAGTACAGACTATGCATATTTATTTTCAGTAGGAAAATATACCTGTCGAACCCCATCCTGGAAATTATTTAAAAAGTATCTCGAAAGGGCACTCATCCCATCTCGAATTAGTCCCAACACAGTCTGTTTCCCATATCTGTGAGTTTAAACAGATCATAGCAAATCCAATGATGATAAACGAATCAGTTTGTCTAATCATGAACTCAGGCCCCATTTGGGGGTCAAAAGTGGGTATATAATGCTAATTCAGAAGAAAAAGTAGCTTTCGGGTTTACTTATTTGGCACAAATAGATGCCACCAAACGTTTTTCTTTCAAAAAATTCAGTACAGTCAGCCAGTTAAGCCAAACAACCCCACAAATGGACTCTTAGACTACCTGACAAGGCCCTCCCCCCTCAGCAAACCCAGCCAATTCAGTTTGTCTAATCTTGAACTTAAGCTCCCTTTGGCAGTCAAAATTGGCTTAGTTGTTTATCAAGCTAGGTTTTGAATTTAGTTATTTGGCTGAAATGTATGTACCGGATGCTTCTTTCTTTAACAAAATTCAGCAACTTGACAACTTCAGCCAATTCTGCCAAATAACGTATAAAAATGGACACTTATGCTGAGTTTGGATGGAGTGTTGGGAGTGGTTTGTAAAGGAAGTGTTTAGATTCTTTAGAAGGATTGGCGTTGATACTTGTTTGGAAGAGAAATTTTAAAGATAAGGGTGTTAACAAGTGTTAGAAAATGTTAAGAATTACAGCATCAACACCTCAATTGCTCACATTCTTAACGCCCAATTTGGAATGTAAGGAGGCGTTAGACATATACTACCCTTCATCTACGTGGAAAAGGTAAAATTCCGATTTCTTTCTACCGCTCTTCTCATCCGTCAACTACAGCAGTTGGTCTTCTCTTCTCATGTGCAGCTGGTGGCCTTCTTCTCGTCCATCACCCATACTCCATTACTCCTTATACAGATTACCATATATGACATTCCATCCAAATATTTTTCTGTTCAATATTTGATATTCCATTACACTTCTCAATTTAAATTTTCTGTTCTAACTTAGTTATTTATTATTGGGAAAATTTGAAAGATGTAATATAGATTTATTGGCATATGAGATATATTCAACTACTTCTATATTTTAGGTATTAAAAAACCCTATTAAATTGGATAAATGTGAAAGTTGGAATATTAATTTTCCCAATGATCGGATCTTGCTTAACCTTAACCGTCTTGTAGCAGGGTCTATCGAATTGAAAAGGCTACCTATGAAGCGAGAAACCCTAAGCAGGTGAAGAGAATGACCCTTGAGATTGGACCTAGTAGCTTTGCCCCAAGGAAGAAGATGACTAATGCCGCCTCTAGGATACACATAATTAATTTAAAAATCAAATGGACAGTTTTGTCAACTTATATAAGAACATTTCCTTTACCGATACTCCTTTTTCTAACTCTCCCAAAGAAGTTAAATTTATAATTTACACTTACACTTACTTTACCTTCCTTAACCGTACCTACAATTCCTAACACTTCCATTACTAACACCTCTTAACAACTCATCCAAACAAAGCATTAGACTACCTGACGAGATCCCCTTTCAAGGCAAATGTTCCAGAATATTCCAGACTTATTTCATCACCTTGTTGCACCCACACTGAAAAGATAAAATGAGCCAGATTGAGTACATATACACTACAACACACCTTCAATAATGTATAAAATATCAAGCAGTAGTCTATACAAGTTTTATATATTTCAAAATCTTCGTGAAACATAGAGATGCAATCAGAGGATGAAATTGCTCCAAGTCTCTGCAGTTGAGAATTCAACGATTTCCTAGCCAGATAGCACTGCATGTGATACGAGATATTAAATTAACAGGAAAAAAAAAATAAGTAATTTAATAAGAATATATCTCAAAGCTTTAACTCTTTAAGTGTCAGTTGGAGTATGGAATTTTGTTTAAACTCATTTTATTTATCCATTAATATTATATAGACTGAATAATTTAAACACGTGCATACAATTTTAAAAACATTAATCGTAATATCGTATCTCATTTTCCTTTGCATTTCCCGTGTAAAACCAAACACAAGAAAATAACTTTCCATAGCATGTTTTCCTCATTCCTAGCATTTCCCGGTATCCAAACATACCCTAACGTAATATGGTAGAAAAAACATATATGTAGTACAGCATATCCAAATGCTTTGTCAAACCTGTGTTACGTTTGTCCGGTCAAGGCAATCAATGCAGTTTGATCTAATTATTTCTTTCTGTTCTGTTAGTATCTTCCCATCTTCATCTACCAAGAAATATCTGCTCAGCTGGAATGGTAAATATTAAAAACCATATTACAGATAAACCAAGCATAGCCGTGTAGAGGCATGTACTCTCAGAGGACATGTCCAACTATATTTGACTTTCATTTATTACCCTTGCTTCTCAAAATCTTCCGATATTTGGTCATACAAAAGCTGTAGATTCTCAAAGTTCGAGCTCCCACATATGTGATGAAAATCAAAAGACACATATCTGTATCAACACAGTAAAGTAAAAAATGGCACATATTAAATTTATAATATCGAATCTCATTTTTATCTTGAAGAAAAATGCTGAAAGCTGCATCACCATTTACAAAATGGATAAAATGACAACTCATCACTCATAAGATACATTCAACAAATGATGAGTTAGCAGTTGAAACGCACTGCATATTTTACTCTATCATTAGAGACTTAAGAGTATCTTTGGATGGAGGGGTTTGGAAGAGAAAGCTTTAGAGAGCTTAGTCCTATAAAAATTGAAAGATTAACATTTCAATCACATTTTACTCATTTTAAAGACATTATATTTATCATTATTATGTAGTCTAAACTCTTTTTCCATCATTTGCAATGGAGCCAAAACTCACTATTTATTGGCTTGGGAATATGATATAATAAAGCAAAATGGCTCACTAAACTGTCTGCGCTTCTTTGTTATGAAGCAACAATTTTCAACAAGATGTTCACTATGGATCATCGGGAAACAGTCTCTCTGTGCTTTAGTACAGGGGTGACTGCGTACATCCGACCCCCCTTACCCCACCTTAGGTGGGAGCCTTTGGGGCACTGGGGCAATGATAATGATGATGATGATGATGTAGTCTAAACTCTCCACAACCTTACCCTCCGTGTTATAGTAATGATTGAAAATAATAATCATCCAATAATGTAGGTATAGAACTGGAGTGTTAGTAACACCTCACATTTGGCAGCTTTTGCATTTCCGCAGCATAAGCTGCACTTAGTTTACCCTCATCACCATGCTGCAAATCACAATAAACAAGACATTTCAATACATTGAGGCACTTGTCTTTCCTAACGATTTATCATTAGTTACACATTTGCAGACAAAAGACCGATGAGATTGGGTCAGCCATCTCAGTATGGGGGAGGGTGGAGAGGAGGGAGGGAGGGCTTTATCCATGCCCCACTCAATTGAGGATAAAGTAAATCTAAAATTATTTTACCTTGTCTGTCAAGTCTACCGCTACAATCTCTCCATATCTTTGTGATAAATCATTATAATGGCGCTCAACAACCTTTGGCTGAAAGAAGAAAGTGTCTCTTTTTGGTAGTAGCAAATGAACAACGAAAGCATAAAGAGCATTGGTTTAGGGCTACATACTGTTTCTTCATGATGAATAATGTTTAGATGTGGTTTATAGCTCAAGTCAACAATTTGCTCCCACAAGAGGGGAATTGATCCCCTAACCTGAAAATGTGAAAATTTTAGAATCCTTGAGATCCTCACACAGAAGAGGGAAATGTATCTCCACCTGGAGAGTAGTATAAACGGTCACAAATAAAATTATGTTTTATTTTCTTTTTCTTTTCAAGAAAAAAGAAAAAAACGGATACAGCCCAGCATTGAAACATGGATATCTTTTTTCAGGAGGGCAAGATACCCCGGGTAAAATGCACATGTTAACTCATCCAAAAATGTTTTACAAAAACACCGGGGCATACCCCTGTTTAAAATCACAACAAAAGCGGGCACCCAGCCATATATGGCTTACCCACTATCCTGAATAGACCAAGTAAAGGGACAGTCCCCCTTTAGTAACTTCAACAACTGATAATCCAAATAATCCAAAAGCATACAACAAGCACAAGAACCGCACGTCCAGCAACACTACTGTCACAATAACAGACCCACCACCAGTATTACCACAAACAGCAAACAGTAACTCAGGCCCCCCTTAAAAATCAACGGCATCATGAGGATACAAGTAAAATAAAATTCTATAGACCACCTCTTTAATCTTCATCAAGATACCCAATTTTATGTCTCAGTGACAAAACTATATAGCAGGTTATGTTTTATTTTCTCTTTCTTTACATGGCAAAAGGGAAGATGGACACAGCTCTGCATTGGAACGGTACCATCTTTTTTTAGGAATGCAAGATACCCGCTTTTATGTCTCAGTGACAAATCTAAATAGAAAGTGAACTTAAATGGCATACTTGTAAAAATGAAGACCTCAAACTTCCAGAATCCAGAAACTGCTCAGTTTCAATGAAATTAGCTGTGTCACCCTCTAGGTTAGCTCCTCTTCTCCACATTCTAGTTCCTAAACAGAACGTCACCATAGTTGGGAGGGGAAAAAGATTAGCTCAAAAGAATACAAATTCAGGCACAATAGAAAGAAGGCTTAAATACATTTCTAACCATGCAAAGATGAAACATTTTGTCTTCGATGAGTTAGATCCCTGCAAAATATTTTTTTCATCCTTGTAATATACACTATTATCTTGTTTGTCCCTCTCTAATTCCGAAACAATCTCCATTTTGAAAAAAAATAATGACAGTTGCATAACTCTACTAGAAACTCTTAATTTCATCATTTTTTTTCTCTCTTAATTTCATCATTTTATAACTACTTGGAGACTAATATTGGAGCTTTACAATGTAAAACTAATCATTCACATTTTTAAAAAAAAAGGTTTAAAGATATTCTAGAAAATAAATTACACATTTTTGGAATGACATGTCAAAGAAGGATAGGAAATCTATTGCCACGGTTGTTTTGTTGTGAAACAGAGGTGGTTATTTGTTATGATTTATGAAACAGAGGTTGTTATTTGTTATGATCAGTGAGGGACTAGAAAGAATAGCAACAGAAATTATGGGGATAAAAATAAAAATTATTTTGCAGGGATGTAAAACAAGAACCACGAGACGTGCTAGCATAAGTGAGATTAAGTTTCTCCCATGCACTTTTAGCCGTGAGGGCAGATGAAATAATGGGTTGAATTGTATCGGAACAACTACCAAGTAAGGCACTAATGATAGTTTTGTCTTGGCAATACCAAATGGTGTGACAAGAATTAGGCTGAGTTTTAGCCGTATCAAGAAATTGATCAGGAGTAGTAAGTGTGTCATCAATATAGCCTTCAAGTCCTAAGCCAATAAGGGCATTTCCAGACTGGAAAGTTGGAAGTAGTGAGTTTGATAGGAAAATGGTTTGTGGCCGTGAGGGCAATAACGGTGGTGGTGGCACCGTGGCAGTGATCGTCATGAATGACAAGAGGAGGGGGGAAAATTGCTCATTGGAGTTAGGCTCTTGATACCATGAAGGAATAGTATGATTTCTGATATATTGAATGGAGCAAGGCTCCATATAAATATACAATACATACTAACGGATGAAGCTATCTAACTAACTGCCTATCTATGCGCAGTGATAAGATCAAGTCTAACAGCTACGGAAGTATATGGCTAATAGGATGTACAAGTGTATAATAAATAATGTAACAATAATATGTACAATTTATTTACTTCGTAATAATTTGAAGGGACTAAAAGCATACTTAAGCCTAAAAGAATGGCATTTATTTGTACCTAAACGTCGGGTGCACTTCCTTGATATTAATGTTACCATAGCTGGTGAGCATCCGAGCTTCAGTTGTGCAGTTTGAAAGCTTATGACTTTGTTAAGGAACCAACACGAAATCGAATTGGCCTCTAATTATCTAGATCTATAGTTGGATCCTCAAATCAAGTGGATAAGAAATGCATGTCAGGAAACTGGAGAAGCACATTAAGGATATTTCCTTGTATTAGTGGAATGATAAACCCGTCAAGCTGTAACAAGAGAAATGGAAAAATGAAGGAAAGAAAGTGTAAATTAGACACAAAAAATTGAATGCATATACCATTAGTATCATAGTTGTTTTACAGTGATCATATCCTATAAAAATATGAAAAAGTAACAAATAAATTAAGAACCTAATTACTACCTTCGTCCCAAAATTGAGACACATTTGACCAAGTTAAAACTTTTTATTTTTAGAAAGGTACAACTATAAAAAAATCATGAATTCTAGATATGTTTTAGAATTTATGTGTTGGTTTAACTACGTTTAACACACATGCCTTGTTTAGAGCACGTTTTTTAAAAGAATGCAGTAAATACAGTGAAAATTAGCTTCTATTATTCAAATAGAACACTTTTTAGGGAAGCAGTATTTTCGAAACCGATAAGTATGTTTTTGCCCAAGTAACAGCATTCTTTCAAATATTGTGTAAGCCAACAAGAAAAATAAAATTTTATCCGTTTTCCTTTTAATAGGCAGTAGCAAACCTTGTTTTCAATTAGCTCATCCAGCAGATTCCTGTTCCAAACAAACCTGGGATCAGCCTGAAATTTAATCAAAGAATTCTCACATATTTTGAATACTTAATCGGAAAACCTTTCTTCAAACTAGTGCAATAAAAGTATATCATTTTATACTCTTAGTTAATACAAAACAATAAAATATGCACCTGTTTCCATACTGGTTTTCTCATCCAGCCTTTAGCTAACTTGTATCTTCTCTGCAAGCTGGTAAAAATATCAGAACCATAAAAATAAAAATGGCGGATCTTTATTGATATCCAATATAGCTATCAACTGATAAGGGCCAAAAAGTGATAGGTTAGCCATGGACTTACTTCAGCGTTAAATCTGTTTCATACGAAAAATAAAGTCCTGGTGTTGCTTCCACAACCTTCAAGAGATTTGTGAAGTATGCTTCATCTCTTTTCTGCAACTCAAAGAAGGTACTAACAGTATCATTTAAACAGCTAGCACACTTAAAAGGTTCCTCTCACATTTATAAAATAAATCAATAACTAAATAAAAAAGGAGAAGCATTTCAGACTTCTTCACTGCTTAGATTTTTGGATGCCACATTGCAAGACAGAAACTTCATGGATGTCACCCGATGAACAGGAAACCCGAGATAAGCTCCCACTTCTTTCAGAGAAGTTATAACTAATATATGTGTTCCTGCACCAAGTATTACATATGTAAATAAACACCTAAGTAACCAGTACTAGAGATCATTGTTTTCAGTGCTTAAGTCCTGATTTTAACAAGATTCAACAGACAACAAGTAAATAAATACTACGTAGTTTCATTTGGAGACCTGCCAAACGCCTATTCCTAATAACTTACTCAATGCATTCTTCATAAGTCGCGTCTTAAAAATTTAGCTAGAAACCATATAGACGCATCATGAAATTAATGATAAGATGAGTGAGTTTCAGGAAGTACCAGCTAGCAACCTAATTGTTCCCACTACTCCATATATTGTAGTTATCTTTGCAGGTTTTCCAGTATTTGTATCTCCTGCATCACATCATTGCATATGCTTGTGATGATGGTTCATAGTTCCTACTTCTCAGTGTACAATGAAAGTTTTATTTGACTTCAGGGAGCGACGAAACGAACCGTGTAGCTTCTCGATCGTTCCATCGGAGCGGCTGATGGAAAAGCCTCGATCAGGACATTCCAGCGAACGGATCACGAACTTTTCTGGGAACTCCCGCAATTCCAATTCGCTCCATATCTTGAAATGGTCTGTGTGATTTCCCTCAACCGACATGTTATCCTTTCTTCCTCTTCTCGTATTGCGATACTTCAGGACGATCAACCCCAATATTCATTTTTTCCCTGAACGAACTCCAATAATCATTTTTTCGCTGAACGAATGGATATTTTCTATTCGTTGAAATTTTACCCGAAATAAAAATGAATTATTAATTTGGGACCTCAAATATGATATATATCGTAGTACCGTATATGACCCGAACGATGGAAAATTATCAATCTAGGACGTAACATTTCATAGGTTTTGATTTATTTAATTTTTTATTAAATTCATTGCTAGTTTTTGATAAACTTATCCTTACAAAAGTTTACTAGTTTAATAAAACTAAATGATATTTAAAATTTTCAAAATAAAAATAATAATAAAATTCATGACAACTTAGTCCCTAGATCGATAATTTTAAAGCATTCAGGTCCTATAATGATAGTTTTTCATCATTCACGTCCTATATCGATACATTTCGACTTTTAGATCCCGGATTGATAATTCATCTATCTTTCAGGACATGAATTGATAAAATTTCAAAGTTAATGTTACTCTAAATAACAGCATATAAAACAAAATAAATGCTTTAAAAAGTTCTAAATGTTTTCATAATGTTTTGTACTATATGAATAACCTGAATATTCATATTTATTACAATTGATATCATATTTAAAACTAGAAAAATGAAGAGTTTCTAATGTGATTTATCACACTCCAGAAAACTCAAAGGATTTTCACCTCTTTATAAAGGGAACCCTATTTGAAAGACTTAACATTCTTAGGTGGAAAGGTTCTCTTCGTGCGCAGGGAGTGCTGATCAAATCCCGAAAACGGAAAAGAAAAACCGCGACTTGCATGCACGGGCGACCTGCGAACACGAATGTCATTCGAAAATCTATCTTTCAAAGATACGATTTAATTTTTGCTTCTTCCCGTGACGTTCCTTTTTTCTTCGCATCGGAACTGCTCGGACCAGAACCCTTTTGCTCCGCATCACAAGACTTCGGATCAGAACGCTTCTGTTCTGAATCAGAAGACTTCAGATAGAACTCTTCTGATTGGCTTCTGAAATGTTACAGTAGTTAATGCCCAACATTCTGCAGCATTAAACGGACAGTTCATGGACGAATCAATGGCCAACGGTCTAGTCATTGATGTCCAACGTTCAGGTCCTTTAATACGCCATTAACACACAACAAATCTTTCCCTATAAGTAATTGGCAGGTGATTTGCAACAACACATCACACAACAAAGTGTTCACGTAGTTTTCAAGCAAAAGCACACCTCCAGTTTCCATAAACTTCCTTAGTGTTCTGTCCTTTGCTTCCGTTCGTCGGAATTGTCGTTTGTGTACTCAAACAATCGTTTGTTTGCCACCGTATCCTGGGAAACTATCGTTGCAACGCTCCTTATATCATCCGTAAACCTTTCCCATATTCAATACATCATTAATATTCTCATCTAGTCTCTGTTATTCCATTTATTATCTGATTATCATGTAAAATCAAACCCACGTGTTTATTTATGAGTATTGCGGACCTATTCTTTATTATTTTGTAAACGGGGTGTGAAATGAGTTTTAGAACCTAATAAAATCTTTCTAACATACTATAAAACACTTGGAACGAAATGAAATACAACAAGATATGATCAAATCAATACTCAGAAATGTACATATTCTTTATTACATTGTAAATGATGTATGCACACGAGCTTTAGAACATAAAATGATCTTTCCAACGAGATATAAAACATTTGAAGCAGAAGAGCATGCATCAATATATGATCAAATCAAATACTTAGTTTGTTTTTATGTAATATATCAATTTTTCGGACTAAATAGAGCATATTTGACATAAATAGAGTCTTAGGGCATCTCCAACAGTTTACACCATTTTTTACACTAAAATGGTGTAAACATCACATCAAACAGTATTTTATCTCCAATAGTTTACACCATTTTCATCACCAAAAAGGAATATTCTCTTTTTATTCTTTTTACTAACTTTTTACCATTCTTCTATTTAAGTATCTAATTATCATATATTTATACACTAGCCTCACATTTAATATTTTGACATTTCACACATACAAAATAAAATACACCATTTTAATATGTATTTTCACGCATTTTAAAATACAATAATCAATATTTCACTAATTATAATGGTGTTATTAATTGTAATTTTAATTATGTTATTTTCTTAAGTATCATTTGTATTCTGTTATTATGTTGTTTCGATTTGAAACTTTATTTATAATATTGTGCGATTTAAATTTTATTATATTTTTGTTATTTCTATCAAATTAATAATTTTAATTTGTTGTTCTATATAGATGTTTTTACTTGGATTGTAATTTGTCTCAGATCAGATCAAACCGGATTAGGCCAGACTTGAATAGTTATAAAAATACAAAGAAATCAGACCAGACCAAATCAGTTCAGAACAGACCAGACTAAATCCGACCAGATCAGACCAACAAATTTTAGTCCAAGTAAAAACATTCTAATTTGTTGTTTTAAAAATGGGTCAATACTATAATAATTAAAACTTTGGGTCACATTTTAAATATAAAAAAAATAGAAAAAGAAGATGGTGTTGGATTTGGTGTACACCATATATGGCGTAAAGCCAAAGGCACTCCACCAAAATGGTGAAATGGTGTTGAAGATGGTGTGGCTATTGGAGCATTTTTTTGGCAAATGCACCATTTTGGTGTAGAAATTGGTGCTTGTTGGAGATGGTCCTACATTCAGAATTTGGTGCATACGGTACTCATCTCGTAATATTTGGAAAAAGAATTTTGAATACGAGTTTTAGAACTTTATAAATGTTGACATTCATGTAATTTCCATGTTTATGTTTGTGTTTTTAACTAGTTTAGATTGATTGTTACTTTGGAAATTACACACTTTTGGTGTAATAGTTTAGTTTGTAAAAATGTTTGTAATTTGTTTAGATTAGGTTTATTCTGAGCTCAAACAGGTCCAAGATCACTCTAGGGACCATTGGTGAACATCACAAATGGAAGGAAGGTGCAAAAATCTCAAGACAAATTGAAGATTCTGATTTTTGGTGTTGTACCCGGTCGGGTATGACCTATACCCGATCGGGTAAGTCGCTGAAAAATCAAATCGAATCAACCCGGAAACAAGGCAATGTGCAGGGGAGATTTTGATCATGATCGAGTGTTCATACCCGATCGGGTGGCCGACATACCCGATCGGGTATGTCCCAGTTTTTATACTTCCGCGAAGCAACCGAGTACCCGATCGAGTGCCCTTACAGCCCGATCGGGTACACGACCTTGCAAGCCTAAAAAGCCTATAAATACACCTCATTTCCTCCTCATTAATTCACCAATTCACATATACTCTAGCTCAGTTTAGAATAGCATTCTTTTATTATTTTTCTAGCTATGTTTAGTCTCCAAATGAGGAGCTAAACTTCCATTTCTTGGTTTTGCTCTTGAAGCTTGTTGATTATTAAAGTTGTGAGTTATTTCCTTAACTTCTTTTCTTGATTATTAGTTCTTCCCTTAATCTCATTCTATATTAATGTTGGAGGGTTGCTAAGTGACGATTAGTTAACGTTCCGACATTAATTACTACTAGAAACGATCAATGAACCTATGGTTAATCGTTGATGGTTTCACAAGTAAGTAACTTCGGTTTATTAATGCACGGTCATGGTTACTAAACTTCAGAGGGATTAATTTAGTTGGTTAAACCAAAACCGTTGTGTTGAGGTTATAAATCTCAACTGATTTCATCAAGGAGTTTAAGAGATTAAATGCTACTATTAAATCGGTATACGGCGTTGTTCTATATTTGATTAATAGTAAGGGTTATTAATGAACGGTCGTTGTTAATAACTACCCTCGATGAATTGGAGATACTCCTCGATTGAGTATTCGAGAGGGGATAAGTTAATGAACGGTCGTTGTTAATAAGTTATATCAACAAGTGGAAAGTAGCAAGACCAAGTCCTTTTTATCTTTGAATTAAATCTTATTAAGTCGTTCATCTTAGTGTTAATTAAATCAAATCAAATCAAATCTAAACCCCCCTTGTTACTAGAATTTAATTAAAAAGAAAAGTTATCCTTTCCCTATGGATACGAACCTTACTACACTGTACTACGTATAAGTGCTAGTATTGAATTTATTTTGACACACCGTGACAAAAGTGCACGTCAAATGTCACGCATCGGGTCTACCCTAATGCAATAACAACCGCTGTACAACCCAAATTAGTCAACCTTGGTCAAGCTTACTCGAATCATACAAGGTGTCATCGATATCATTCACACATATATCATCCATAAACAATCATAAGTAAAGTAAATCAAGTACGCAGCGGAAAGCGATGTACTTAGAAAATCAAAAGCCACACTAGGCAAATATGAGCACGCAGGCTGTCACGCCCCGGACCTACGTGGACACGTCAACAACCCGTTGTACAGTACCAATAGTCAACTGCAGTCCAACACATTCATACTATACAAGGCGTCTTGAATATCATTCACACGTAGTACATCCATAAACAAACATAACATAAAATATTCATTTAAAGCAGCGGAAACATTAATACAAGTGTTCAAGCCACGCTTGGCATAATTAGGCATACAAGCCCCCAAAATAATTGTTCAGAAAATAATATCCATGAGCATTAATGTAATTGTTTTTGAAACATAAATGGAGGAAGCACGAACCACGTCTTCTCTCCTTGATTCTCCCGAAGCAACGAGCGATGGTAGCAACCTTCAAGTTCTACCTGAAACTGTGAGGTGACCTCCCCCGTGAAGGAAAGGTCAGTACTTTGAAGCATTTGAAAAGTACAATGACAACTACACTGAATATAATCAATGTTTCAATTTCTAAGACTCTCAAATAGAGTGATATCATAATATATATGATAATTCATATTTTCCCCTTATTGTCTTTATAATAAGTTAATTCATTTCTTTGTCGGCACGCGGCCCCCTTTTTATATTCCATTTTATTCATGGCTCATGTGACACCACCCATAGGTCTATTTGTTTCTATGGGACTTGCTACCGCTGTCTGAGCCCTCATAAGGTCATCGGTTCGGATTCCAACATCCCGCCCCTGGACTCATACACATC